GGGGGGGAGGGCCCCGGGTCCTGCGCCGCGGCAGGCCGGGCGGCACTCGAGGGCTGGCCGGTTACGCGGCGTGGGGGTTGGGGGGCAGGCCGACCGACCTCGGGGCCCCCTGCCGCCGGGCAACAAAGGCGGGCCGTGCCCTGCGGACCCGCCCGGCCGGGGTGGGCGCCCCGGGGGAGCGGGGCCTGGGCTGCCGGAGGTGCCGTGTGGGGTGTCCCTCAGCGGGGGCAGGCACGTGCCCGCGGCTCCCAGGCAGAACCTCTAACTGCCTTGTCAAATCCGGCAGCAGTCGCGAGGTCTGCTCAGTGAAGATGATTAAGATGCTGGCCTGGTCCTTACAAAAATAAAACGTTCCCAGTGGGAGTTGCAGCATTTGCTGAAGTAGCTCTGATCGTCACTAAGCCGTATTTCCTTAAACTTGGCGTTCAGCTGTACCTGAGCGATTTGAAATTTAGCTTTACGCGGCGCTCTGCTAACCTCGGGAGCCAGCGGTCAGAGGCCAAAAACGCACTTCTGCACACCTGATGGCAGAGCCTAGTTTTATACTGTTACACGTTCATTCCTCCTCATATTTTTCTTCAAACTTTTTTGTACCAGTTAGCCATTCACCTTATGGTCATGTTTCATTTAGGCATTGTAAATTTACAATTAATGAATTTTATGATTAAAACCAAGTCAAAATACTTTTATTTTTTTCCCCCTTTCTTTGTCTCTTTCTAGTATGTGCTATGAGTTCATACTCAGATCCATTCAGGGAAATGTCTTTGCTTACCTTGGTGGACTAATATGTAACAGACATGATAGACATATACGTTATACAAAGGGATAGCTAAATGCCTTTGATTACTTTATTGAGGCATCAAAATAATGGAGTCTACTGAGAAAGAGTTGACAGTGTTAGACTGCAAGACCCGACCTATGCTTGAAATGTATTGCCCTCTCGTAATGTTTTTGGGTGTATTTGGGTGTCTATTTATTTATTCTTAATTTTCTTCTAATAGGATAGTTGGGATGCACCTACGAATGCCAGCAAATCTTTATATTCCTGTATAAGGTTCATTATGCCATGATGGCTGCTAGTACAGACAAGTTATAATATAGGACCCTTTGCTTCTCTTCTGTGATCGTAGAGCTTTCTACCTGTTACTTCTTTCCCCTGTCCCTTCTTAAATACACCATCGTTTTGACTATTTGGAGATGGAAAATAAATTTGTTTTTTTCACATCTGCAGGATACTTGCAAGGCAGTAACAGTTTATATTGCTTGCCCAGAGAACCCTGGCTGACTGAAGGTGCCTTATGCTTTTCATGAGCATGGAAGCTATACAACAAATACCTTTTAATAACTGCTTGAGCAAACTGCCAAAAGAAGAAAATGAATGTGCAGACAAGCACTTCCTTTACTGAGAGTGCATTTCTGTGCTCTCTCTGGCTAGTGACATGCAGTTTGGCAAAGTAGTGTAAATACTTCTAAGAAATGTTTATTGGCGAAGTAATTCTTCATAAATAAACCTGTTTGAAATTGTAAGAACATGTATTAAGACATAAATTTCCTAATCGTGGAATACAGAGCAGTATTCAGTCATTATGTGCTTGCTGCCGGAAAGTTACAGAAAGCCACTGAATGGAGGAAGCTTCCTAACTAATTATCTGGGGTCGGTTTGAGGAAGTGGAAAAACCAACATTTGGCAGTTGTAGCCTCCTCTGCAGGTAGAGGGAGAGTTTTGCTGGGGGGCAATGGGGTGTTCATTTTGGGTTAGCTCAGGTAAGAAAGTAGCTAATTTTTATTTAAGAGCAGCAAGAAACCTTGGTTTTAGGAATAATAATTATGTAAGAAGCTAGAGCTTTCAGATATAAATTCTTGAATGGTAACCAAAAAGAGTTGACTCACTTTGTTCACTGGAGTAAGCCAAGTCATGAATTACATTTCTGTTGTCTTCTCTAATGGATCTAGTATGTTGAAATTACCTTTGTTTAATGAAAACAGTGTTCAAATACTGCTTTCCTGTATTGCTAAAGGAGCTCCTTTTCCACTCGAAGCTGAATTCAAATGCAAAATTTTTACTCGCTTGTAGATTTGTAATATAATAAAATGCTAGAGTTAATGTGAATATGTATCTTTAAGTGCCATAACTACTTGAGCGCATATATCCACCTGGCTACAAAAGAAGGTGCCAAGCTGAGATTAAACTAGTTTAAATTGGCATAGCTCAGCGTTTACTTGCCCATGTTAGTTAGCCTTTTTGTATGAGCTAAAGCAACAAAGCAAAGCCCCAAGAAATGGCAGCAAATGTCACCCTTAGAGTTGGAAAATCAACTTGAGTCAAAAAATGGTCCACTGGAAAGAGTCCTCTGATTGCTTCAGTGTGGTCCACCTGATGGACCGTGAGCCAAATTCAGCATGAGGAGTGCTTCCCTCCGGCTCACTGCCCCTTCCCAGGCAGAGCCCGGAGTCCCCCTTCCAGGACTAAATGTAGGCCCAAGAGCTGAAGGCTGCCAGCCTGCTTGCAGTCCAGTCCAGAAACCCAGCGTTGCTGTGGCTGCTGCTTCTGCGGTGGGGGGAGCAGGAGGAGAGGCAGCAGCTGCTGCTTTTGACAGCCTTCACAAATGGTCACTTACTGTGCATGGTGGTTTCTGAATGCTCACTTTATGGCCTGACAAAAAGCAGCGTCGGACATGTAAGAGCTGCATATGTGGTCAAATCTTTACTTTAAATCTACAACATGGTGGTACTCTTAAAAAAAAAAAAAAAAAAAAAAAAAAATTATCTCAGAATGGGCAACCAAAGCTGGTCATTGTTTTGACTATTTGATTTTTTTTCTCATCTCCGAACTCTGAACGGTAAGAACAGTGTGTGCTATGTTTTGCAAAAGTAAACCGTGACGTGTTGGGATGACGTAGTGATAAAACCCCCTTACCATGAGGTAAGGGGGTACATGTACCTCCCTTTTGCATGAGCAAAATATTACTGGCATTAAAAAAAATTGAATAATTGTTTGCTAGATTAGAGTTTTTCCATTAATTGCTGAGGTGGATTATGGATTCTGAGTTTTAAATTCATCTTTTATAACCTATTAGATTTCTAGAGTGAATAGGGAGAGAATGCACGGGTTTGAAAGATGGAATACCTCATAACATTGGGGGTTGGGGGGGATTGTATTTTTTTTCCTCCTTAAAACAGCCCTAAGTCACAGAATTTTCATACATGCATAATTGTAGCAGAGCACCACCGCTTGCTTGTTTTGGTGTTACAGCAAGAAACTTTATGCAGAATTTGTTGAATCTACTATCATCAATTTTGAGCAGAACTTTAGAGGCATAAGATCAGTTGTCCCAGAGAGTAAGAGCTGAAATTTAATTACATTTTCCACATCCCGAGGAAGAACACTTCAGCAATCATGATACTGTACTCCGTTTGCAAAATCATTGCTCAGGGAGGGGAATCATTGTAAGGAACATGGTCTCTTTGTGGATGAGTTCTTTCTGCCGCAGTGTATCAAACTGAAAGCGCTTACATGAGTCTTTCTGCCAGACTGAATCAACTCGCTTTAGTTAAATATTTTATATTTTTAGAAACAAGTCAGAAATATTTTTCAGTGAGTGAGAAAAAGTTTCTGTGAAGAACAAAAAGGGCAGATTTTGGTATCATAGCACAGCTGATGAATTTTATATTTCTTTTTGTTGTTTCATATTCAAGGCCTATATGAATCCCATAGCTATGGCCAGAGCACGAGGTCCTGCCCAAAATTCGGGACCAACAATACAAGACTACTTGAACAGGCCAAGACCAACATGGTAAGTGGCAATACTTGTCTGCTCTTCTGAGTGAAGGATTTGTTCTCTCTTACTAAGATGACACAGTTACCTACCTCCTGCCCAGAATACGCATTAATACATTTTGAAAGATTCCTTCTCTCTGGCCAAGGTGTCCTTTTCTAAATACGTATTCAATCTCCTCTTTTTAAAAACAGTAGTATTTCATTTTGAAATGCATGTTTCTCATTTGTCTTTAAATATTTTGGCAACGGTTTCTCAGAAGAGGAAAATGTTGGTCATTTTACCTCTTTCACAAATCCTAATGCTTAAAGCCTGCAGATGTATTTAATTTTTAAACAAAGTAATCTCTAGAAAAACACTTTGCTGGTATATTCTTAGAACACGGTTTACCCTACCCAACAAAATCATGACTTCGAGGTATTATCAACAACTTACTTTATGTTCGGTCCATTTTGCCTCCTCTCATATAAGACATTAGAGAGCAATTTACCTAATTGCAAAGTTAGCTTTAGATCTTACAGCGGGATTTAACTACTGTACTTAAGTTATTAGGGTTAGATTACCATATGCATAACATCTAAGATGCTTTCATTCTTCTTTCTGTTGGAAGTTCAGCCAAAGCTAAACTTCAAAAATCTGCAAAAAGTTAGACACTGAAGAAGGTATTTTTAATTGTGAAAATAAAGTAATTGTGATCTATCATCCTTTTTATGTAGGGAAGAAGTGAAAGAGCAACTAGAAAAGAAAAAGAAAGGATCCAGGGCCTTGGCTGAGTTTGAAGAAAAGATGAACGAGGTTGGTAATGTTATTAGTATGTTAATACTCGATTCTTCTTATCTTATATGCTACTTTTCTTCCGTTATTGTTAGCCGCACCAAGTACCCATAATATTTCACTTCACTCAAGCTTTTAATGAGTAAGTGTTTTGTTTCGTTTGTATCGGATGTTAAGGTTACCCCTTAACCAATGAAGAGCTACTTTCAATTCAGAGAAACACTATATAAAAAGTTTTGAAAATTGCTGCTGAATAAAACGTAAATGTAGTTATACAAATGCATGTGTTTAAATGAAACTCGTGCATTTTCCAGTATGATAAACTAACATCTGTTGTGCTAATCTTGACTTGTTTAAGGTCACACAATCCAAATAGATTGGAAGGAGGTGTATTACTGGAAACAGACGTCTTTGGCAAGGAATGTACATGTAATATTGATACGGGAGAAGGCACAAAGGATGGCCTTCAATATACAGATAGGACTATAAAGCACTTCTTCCTCTCTCATCCTAAGCTGGTTACATTCCATGCTGGTTCCCTACTATATATTCCCTACTATAAATGCAGCTGTTCTGGTGCTTGTGTTCAGTACCTACTGGAGATCAGCATGGTGTGAGAAAGTTTCACATATAACTCCTGTGGTATACATAGGAAGAAATTAGTATATGATGAATTTAACTGTTTCTTCTTGGGCTCTGGTATCTTGGCATAAGCTTCAAGCAGTAGTCTTCATCATTGTGTGCGAGTTTCTGGTTGAAGTAGATTATGCTCCTCCTCTGTTATTGGGAGGGCATGGTACCTCTGCTGTTGCTATACCTTTTTGCCTAACAAGTTATACCAGTATTTGGAGGGTCACGGGGTGCTATTCTGAGAGGATCAGTTGTTCTGCACTCTGTGAGTTTTAGCTTCGTGATTTTGGTTTAGTATTTTATCATACTCCTTTCCTGCTTTTATCTTTGCTTTATTGTGAAATAATTGAAACTGGCATGGATAGAAAGTAACAGCCTTTCAGTATGGCAGAAGGGTAGGAAGGGATGCAGGGAATCGTGAAATGGCCATGAGTTCTTCCTAAAGCTCCTAAGAACAAATCTCTACACAGTTGAAAAGATTTTAAGTCTCTGAATGAGGTGCTCTCTCCTATATTACTGACAGATGTTGTGCTTTTTTGTTTAAAACAAAACACTAGCACAGTCTTAAAATAATTTCAAGAGGACACCTGCCTAATAAAGCACAGGCTGTTGTTAGAGACCCCTGGGGTAGCTCTGGGTAGCTGGTGTATCAAAGTACACAACCCGCTGCAATACTGCATAGGTGCTACCTTGGACCATGGAAACACATTACGCACAGCACTGTATCCTGGCTAATCTGCCATGTCTCTCAGCAGCATTTTTCAGCTAATTCATAGTATGCTGACTTAGGGATCTGTGTATCATATTGCATTGCACAGGTATAATCTTACTTAATTCCTGATATTTCTGTCCCTTCAGCACAATATGTGGATTATCGTTGCTTTGCCAATACAATACCAATACAGCTTCATTGTGAGGAAAGGGGGGATCCGAAGAATAATAATAATAAAGAAGGGAGCACGTTGTGTGTCTGACACAGGAAGCAGGAATAGCACAGATTGAAGCTAGCAGCCTTTCAGTCTGATGGGAGCAGGTTGGATGTTTCAGAGCTCTTGAAGGGGGGATTTTAGGTAGAGCTAGAGACCTTGTGAGGGATTGAAGAGGAGAAATGAGGAGACTTTTATCTGTGCAGTATGCTTGGCCTAATAAAAACAAGAGCGTTTCTATGAAGATGTGTATAGTAATTTAATATTCGAATCATCATTGACACCGACAAGGCCCAGAACAGACACTAGAGACACCCATACATTGAAGAAGGACCAAGAGAATTTGTCTTTAAATTTTGCTTTGTGATTTTAAAACTAAGACAAAATAGGAATTTTTCTGGTAGGGTGCCCTGGCTTTCTAAAGTGCTCTAGCAAGAACACTGTGATACAAAAGCAAAAATACCATAATTGATGACCTTCCAGATAAATAACAACCTCTTAAATCCAAATAACTTGAACATAAGGTGTGAACTAACACAGTATTTCGATGAATATTAATCTTCTGTAAAATGAAATGCATTATAGCCTTGGTTAACATTATATGTTGTTTATTTTCTGTGGGTTTTGTGAAAGCTGTAATGTCAGGTAGAGGACAGGATTTTGAAAAAGTCTCTTGAAAATGCTGTTTGGAAATGACGTTCGTGTGTCTGTTTCTGTTTGGTTTTGTTTTCAGAATTGGAGGAAAGAACTGGACAAACACAGGGAGAAATTAGTGGGTGGAAACGAGAGTTCCTCCAAAAAGAAAGAGGTAAGTTATTTTCAATTTCATACAGTCTGTGTTTGGAACTGGATTTATCATCGATGCTGCCAATACAGAATGTCATAAATACATTTTAAAAGCCAGCATCAATGTACATAAACCTAAATGCACGACAAAAGAATATGATGCCAAAGTAACATTTGTTTTATTCTATTTTTAAGAAAAAGAAAAAGGAAAAGAAGAAATCTAATAGGGTGAGCAAAATTTTCAGTTTTCTGAGCTTTTTTGCTTTGGGGTTGTTCCTATTTGTCATTTAAGTTCCCTTGGAAAGAGAGAGTATAGCTGTAATTTTGAATTTAGCTGTTAAATTAACTGATTTTTATTTGAGGGGGGTGGTGTACATTCTGTACAAGGAGAATTTTACTTCTGCTTAAAGGGAGAAAAAGAGCATTAAATAGATATTATTAAATGAAAAACGTTAGAAGTGACTTTTTACAGTTTTATTTAAGAAAATCTATGTAAGACCAGCTTCTTGGAAGTAAAATTCCATTGATAATAGATTGCAAATGAAGACATTTTAAAGAGAGTGTTTGGATGGACTTTTGACTATTTGCCAGACAAAATGCTGCATCTCACAAGCTTCACTTTTTGTTGTGTTTGGTCAAGTTGTCTTCATCTTCCTCTTCTTCATCAAGCTCTGATTCTTCCAGCAGTTCATCTGATTCAGAAGATGAGGTAAGAACTAATGTATTAGAATCTAACATGTTTTGTTTATGAGGCTTATTTAACACAGATTTTGGTAATATGTTTTAGAATATTGTTTGAGCACTTGGTTTGCATAAACCTATTTAATTTTTATGCATTTGGTACATGGAAAAAAGTTGTGAATTTTAGATATATATCTGTTTAAGAATTTCTTTATGAACACTATAAATTTGGGTGGCTGGCTTGTAAACTGGATCCATTTCTGTTTCAACATTGACTTGTATGCTTTTTCAGTAGAATCCCCCATCTAATCATAAAAATGCAAACATACCATTTTTACTTTTTAGCAAAAATCTTTGTTACAGATAATCAGATTCTACAGCACACACCTAAATAATAAACAGAATCTAGAGAACCTGGATTTTTCACCAGTTTACATTTTTTCAATGCAGAAGAGTTATGAAGGTCCTCTGCTAAAAGAATCAATTGTAGTGTACTTTATTCCTCAAGAGAACACGATAACATGTAGGAATTTGGTGTTCCCTATTCTTTATATTTAATGTAAGTCTTTAATTCTAGTGAGAATAAATTCAGGGTTGTGTTTTTCTTTTTTCGTACAATATTTGTGGATAGGATAAAAAGCAAGGGAAGAAAAGAAGGAAAAAGAAGTATCGCTCCTCACGGAAATCTTCAGCAAGCTCAACTTCTGAATCTGAGTCAGACAGCAAGGTAAATATGCAGATGTGTTAGCCTTGGCAAGTTTTCTTGATCTGAGTTATAAAGACATAAACATTTCTGACTTTCGCATATCAATATTTTTTTTTTTTATCTTCCAAATGTAAAGCCATGCATTCTTATTGTAGCTGAGCCGTGCTTGTATCTTCCAGATGCAATCAGGAATCTACCTCCACTGGCCACGATGCCTGGCAGAAATAGTTTGATCTTTAGAAAATGAACATGCTTTATTCCGGCAATTTTTAGCTATTTTTCTGAATTCAAACATATGCAGCTTTTGTGCTGCTCAAATGTTTAGTTTTAAATCTACATTAACACTTAAAAAAATGAAATGTTCTGTGAAATTCTTGTGAATATGCTATTTAATTGAACACCATCTGTGAAAATACAGATATTGCAGGATATCAGTGGCCAGAATATTGCCTTTCTAAATATCTGTGGACTGAGTAGTTCCCTAAGTTCCTGAGAACTGAGCCTTTCCCAAATGCATATTAAATTGAGGGTGTCTTTTTCCTTTGCTGAAAGTAAAGCAATGTACATACACAGGCTTACTGAATGAACAAAAAAGTGGAGAAGATATACGAGGCAATTTGTTCTGTTATGTTAGCATTTTTCAGTGTTACAATGGATAGCAACTGTACTTCTTGCCTAAATATTAATAATACAGGAAGTTGTTAAGATTCTGTGTATAGACTTTATCACAGGCTTTCACTGGAATACCTAATTCAGTGTGGTATAAATCGTGATGAATTACTGTTTGCATACACCTATGAATTTGTGCTAATGGGAGTTTGAAAACTTTTGCTACGTAAGGGGACACAGAGGTACCCTTACTGCTGAAGCTGGAAGGCAGAAAACTCCACAGAAATACCTGCTTGACCCCTGACTGATCAGCAGAGATGGGCATGGATAGGGAATAAAGACTGTTGCATGTTAGACATATGTTATACCTGGTTACAGTAGTGATAGCTGTATCCTTTCCAGGGGCACTCTACGTGTACTGCAAGTACTCTGTTACCTGATTCCATGCAGACCTTTTCACACTGCTGGTTGAGAAAATTAGCAGCTGCATCAAAATTATGGCTTTTTCATATTTTTCCTGTTAACTGCAAGGTAGAAAGAACAACTTCGAAGAATGACCTTCAGTAGGCGGAAAAGGACAATGGGTCAGACTGCTTTTGGGATTTCTGCCTTTTTCCTGAAATAATTTTGTCATGGTTTATGTTTTTCTTTCTATTTAGGACAGCACAAAAAAGAAAAGGTCAAAGGAAGATTATGAAAAAGAGAAGGTATTTTTACTCTTGAAATACTTACATCAGAACTGCATTTTACATACATACTTTCTGTCCAAAAGTACACAGTCAGAAGGTATTCAGTACCCCCAATTTGAGGTAGACTTTTAGTTGGGTTCAACTCCTGTTTTAGTGATTGTTGTTAGTGGAAACTGCTGGATCTGTTTTTATTATGAAGGTAAATGAAAAAAGTATCTAATCTGCTGTAGTATATCAGCTGCATTCTAGTATTTTGGGTTTTATCTTGAGCAGTCACATTGAGCTAAAAATATGTGTGATATTTCAGTGGCATGCCTGGTAGGATACTGGCTTGTTGCTGTAAATTACGGAACATCAAGCAGAGGATATATTTATCTAAATGTAGTCATAATTATAGATATTGTACTTATGACAGCTTTGAAAAATTCCAGAGAAAAATACATTAGCTTAAGAAAAATGACTTTATTCTGTCTTTTCTCTGAGCATGAAAACCCTCTCTCTTTCCCACCACCTCACCATTTTGTACACACATCTGAGGACTTTCTTCCTTCCATTAGGTTTAATGCAAATAATCTTGTTGACTTAAATTTTAGTTATTTCTACACTATCTGTGAATTAACAATGCTTTCGGAGTCCACCCTGGTCTTTCCAGTTACCTTTCTTATCACATCGGCCTCTACTACTACAGTCAACAGTATTGAAGTCAACTTTGTACAAATTCTCCATTGCATAAGGCAAATGTGTTGATTTTTTTTTTTTCCTTGCTCCTGCTTCCATTTCAGAGCTTCCATTTCCCACCAGCTCCTTTTAACTTTGAGTAGCTTCTCTTCAAAGACCAAGTGTCTTACCATAGCCCCTTATTCTTGGTTAAGCTGTAATGCTACTTTCACCCATCTTCTGAAAGTAAAGGGCATTTGGGGACTAGAGGTCTTCCCCTGTGTGAAGATACCCTGTCTCTCAAATGGGCTGCATCGTGTACTTTTCACAAGTACTTTTGTGAAAGGATTGAGGTACCTTTAATAGACAAAATAGCACAGCTGAGATGTGTGACCCCACCTTGCAAAAAGACGATTAGCAAGAATTTTTTCAGTTTCTGGCCTTAGAAATTGAATGGAAGAAAGTAGCTTCAGTCTTAGGAACACCTTTCCTGGTCCAGAGCAAAGAGGGGGGGGGCAGGAAGTTAGCTCATCAGAGCAATCTCATGCAGCATCAAAATTTTAAAATTAAAAAAAAAAGATTGTCCTTTAAATATACTGAGTTGATATATGAACTGTTGAAGCGCAGCTGGAAAGGACAGCTTGTCCTGGCTGAACACAAATGTAGAGGAGCTTTTTTAGTTTCATCAACAAAGCAAGAGTCTGAAGCTGCAGTGTTTGTATGCACATACTCTCAATTTGCATCTTCATTTACTCAGTAGTATTTAAAAGTGGTGAAACATTTTTCTTTTCAAGAGACTATACCGTAGTAGTATTCCTCTCACTCTTACAAGGCTGCTGTATCTTGGTAACAAGAGAAAGGAATATACAGAAAAAGACTATTTCCACTAAAAGCATTTTAACAGTTGGTACGCTAATTTGTTGATGATGAGTAATTAGTTTAATGTCAACAATATTTTAAAATATTTCACAACTTGGAAATAATATTTAAATCTAAGTTTTAAGCAGAAGTTTTATAGTTTGAAAGGCCTGACTTTACTCACAAATACGTTACTTTGTGTAGGAAGGCAAAAATCACCACAGGAAAAGGAAGAAAGCCGATCGTGGTGATGGACCTTTATCATCAGAATCCTTATCAGAATCGGATCAGACAGAGGAGGTCAGTGTGAAACCTCAATTTCAGATGTTATAATGCTTTTAGCTTACTGATGCTCATGAGTGAATGAACGAACTAGCTTAGATATAATATATTATTGAAACTGTTCTGCTCTGTACAGTTGCATTTAGGAGTGCAGCACATTGAAAGTTGTTTGTAGTTTTCTCTTTAATAAAAACTTCTCCTAAGAATTGTTTAGTACAACTCCTATCACCTACAAGTCATTTCGAATTAATTTTCTTGAAAATTTTCAACTTTTTATGGATATTTTAGAGCTCAATGAAATGAGGCTAAGTGATTGGTGTGGTGTCCTTCACAAGATTTCTCTCTGGTGTTTGTGAATAGATTGGCAGGTTTCAAGATGGCTAAAATTTTTTGGCTCCCTTTTCCAGTGAATTAAAAAATTTTGGACATAATAATCGTACTCTCACCCTTGTGTAGATCTACTTTGAGGATTTGTATTCTTGTAGGATTACAAAATTTGGGAAGGTTCCAATGTGTTGCGTTTTTTCATTAAGAATTTTTGCCACATTATTAGCTTAGTAATTTTACTTTTATATCTCTACTGTTTCTTGTTCTGCTGTGTATTAAAAGCAGAGTGTGTTCCCAAATTGGATGTTTATAGGATAACGCGTATTACACACAGATAACCTGTGTTTCTTCATGGGTTTTTGTTCAGTATGTTCTGCCACTGTTGTGCCATCATTCATTTACATGCAACAAGAGCTCAAAATTTTATTTAAAACAGCATTTCCAAAGCTGCTCTCCCATTACATTTGATTTAATTTTTTTTTTAGGTGCAAGCAAAAAAGAAGAAAAACAACGAGGAAAAAGAGAAAACAGCAAGTATCCTTCTTACTCGTACTGTAGTTTTAGGACATAAAGACTCTGTATTTGGTTAATTTCCAATTTCACATTTTTCAGTAATACAGATGTTTTATAGCAAAAGTCTACTGTCACATGAATCTAAATTAACAATTTCTCTATTGACCTGCTGAAGTCAGTTTTTCAGTTGTTGACTTAAAAGAAGAGTTTGTCACTATAGATATTTGTCACTATAGAGATACATATGATTTGAGATTTATGTAAGTTTAACACTTACTGTAGCATATACTTTACTCTGTATCAACCTACTAGAACTACTAAGATCCGTATAGTATTGGGTAGGGTAGCAGTTTGCCACACAGACATCAGTGTTGTTCCTTTGTTAGTGTTGTGTATAATTCTTCCTCGGTAAGCCCCCTTTACCAGACCATGAAAAGGGCCTTAGGACATAATTGCTGCAACATCTATACTAATATAATTCTTCCCCCACCACATAAAAAGCTGTCAGCAACCTGTTGCTTTTCTCAATTTTGTTGATTTGTTTCTGTTGATAAAAGTGAGAGGAAGGTTCAGCAGTGATTTATATAGAACTCACATTCATCACATGTACCTGAGGCTCCTCAGTTAGGAGTATAGTGATTTTGAGATCCAAAATGGCCACTCAAGATGTCTGCGTATCTTTCTGTCTCCCCTGTCAGCAACAGTGTTCCCGATTAGACATTTCAAGCTGTCTAGATGAGTTAGGACGAAGGGAAGGCTTACGTTAGTCACCTAAAAATCCAAGCATAGGAGTATCAGTGATACTCAATACACATTTTCCATGGAACTCGTTTGTTTTTTCATAATCTTATAAGCTGTTTGCCATAAAATTTGTAGTGACTGATTGTGGGTTTTTTCTTAGAAGAATTGTGTGTTTAAGTAATGTTTAAAACAAAGCTTTTATACCAATATTGTTTTGTTTACATAATGCTACACCTATTCAGGAATTCCAGTTGAAATTCTGCTTGCAAGAAGACAAGATTGTATCTCTCAGCTTCTGTATTACAGTGATCAGGATAATAACGTCAGGACTGAATCCAGTAGGGTTAATTGAGTGTATTCATATTTACAATTGAGATCATAATTGTTTTATTTTAAACGAGGTGCAAGTGCTGGAGATTCTAGCCAAGTGTAGTTGAACTATTTAATTTTGCACAGTGAATATAAGCACTTACTTTAAAATATGTAAACATCCTAGTTATTCCCACATATATAAGATGTCACTGCTTGTCAAAGTGCTTCTTTATTACTTTCTTAGAAACCTATAAAGCACTGAAAATCATTTAGAAGATTAGGAAATGTAATAGTGACAGTGATGAGAGGTGTGAAATAGCCAGACCATGATGGAGATAAATTGAAGACTGCTCATAATAGTGTAAATGACTTGGTAAAATACGTATTTTCTTTTTGTGATTTCTCAATAGGCTTTTATAGAAATCTCTTTCGAAATTTCTTTGTAAAGATATCCTTTCCGTGCTTTCATTTTGCATTAGCAGAATTTAATAGATGGCAATTTTATTATACAATAACTTCCATTTAATTTTGTTATGTTTTTAGGATAAAACAAAAAAGAGAAAGAAGCACAAGAAACATGGTAAAAAGAAGAAAAAGAAGATTGCTGGTTCAAATTCGGATTCGGAATAATATTTAAAATAAACAAGACTACCAACAGAAGTGCAATGACTAAAGGAAACTTAAACTGTGAAATGACAGCAAACTTTACCAAACTGCATGAGTTTTCCTGTGTTTTAGAAATATTCCTGATCTTTCAGTAGCCAGCCAGATGCAGCGAGGTGTGATAGCCAGACCATGATGGAGATAAATTGAAGACTGCTCATAATAGTGTAAATGACTTGGTAAAATACGTATTTTCTTTTTGTGATTTCTCAATAGGCTTTTATAGAAATCTCTTTCGAAATTTCTTTGTAAAGATATCCTTTCCGTGCTTTCATTTTGCATTAGCAGAATTTAATAGATGGCAATTTTATTATACAATAACTTCCATTTAATTTTGTTATGTTTTTAGGATAAAACAAAAAAGAGAAAGAAGCACAAGAAACATGGTAAAAAGAAGAAAAAGAAGATTGCTGGTTCAAATTCGGATTCGGAATAATATTTAAAATAAACAAGACTACCAACAGAAGTGCAATGACTAAAGGAAACTTAAACTGTGAAATGACAGCAAACTTTACCAAACTGCATGAGTTTTCCTGTGTTTTAGAAATATTCCTGATCTTTCAGTAGCCAGCCAGATGCAGCTGTGCTGGGAAAGACCATTGTTATTGCCTGCTGCTTAATACATGAGGTACAACTTTTATAAAATTCCAGTAAGCAGTGTTAGGTGTTTGAAACAATATGAGATGGTAGTCCAGCTGAGGTGTAAAATATTGGAAAATAAGAGTTAAACTTTTTAGATAGTAAAAGTAGTCTTTTAAAGCATTAGTAATAGTCTTTATTTGTAAATCAGGACAAATAAAATCCCAAGTTCATCCTGCAGGTTAATATTATACATAAACTATTACAAGCTGGTGTCTGCTAATGGCATTTACAAAATGGGAAATTAACATTTAAAATGCTGCCTTTGTAGAAATGTTTATCATCTGCCCCATTACCGTCTTCATGCTTATGAGAAAGGGAATGCTACCATTTTGGCTAACTGAATAGGGTGCCTTTGCCTTTGATTCTTGCAAATCTCTGCTATTTTTAATCCGTTCAGCATCTCTGATTCTAGGGAAGCCAGAACTATTGTCAGCAGACTTTTTCTGAATAAGCAGTTCTGGGCTTCTAAGCATGTGCTTCTGCATTAAGCGAGAGCAATGACATTTTGCAGTATAACTGACATTCAAAACCTGAAGATTTTACCTCCGCTTCTTTGAGATAGCGATTAGATCTTTGCTAGTAAATATGCATATTTCATTTACTGTAATTTTGGTTTAGTTGAACACTTCTTGCAAACACTGGTAGCTTTCTTTGCATTATCTTTAGAATTGTTTTGCATGATTTGTACCATTTTTAAATTAACAAAATGCAGGTAATCGTTTGTTGTAACCAGTTCTATGAATTACGTTCCACATGCAGAGTTTCATGTATGTATTTAGTTATAGTTAAGTTCATTGCTGTGTTTAAGTGCACACTTGCTGAAGATATTTAGCATGTAAAAAGCAGGGTTTTGATACCTTAACAGCTTCATATTGAAGCTGATTTTACTCTTAAGCAAGTTCAGTGGCAGACCTGTTAACGTGATGTGTCTTGTTAGATAAAAAAAACTACTGCCAGAATCTCATTAAAGATACTGTTTAAACAGTTTGTATTTATATTTTTGTACTTGAGGGCTACAGAATGTTGACCTAAATCATAAAGCTGTTTTACTTTAAATTAGTTGCTTTAGAAATTGAAAAAAAGCTTTTATAAATTAAATGTGCATGCAAGAAAACACAAGCAACTATCCAATTTTAGTTTTTACATGAAATTCTCATTTTTTCCATTGAAGCACCCGTTGCTGGGCCTCCTGTTAGCCTTTAAAAACTGCCCATCCATCCTGAGGGTCAACTATAGATTGTACTCTTGATCCACCCCTTTTTTCATTGCACAGGTGCTAACTTAGAACTTACCTCTGTTGCATACAGATGTTTCAAATATTGTATTGCCAAGATTTTCAAGACCTTTAAGACCTTGATTATTAGTCTGCAAACCATAACTAAAAGGTGGGGGAGAAAGATTATTTCGTATTGCCATTCTACAGAGAAATTGACTTCAAGTTAAGTTCTTGGGAAAATACAGTCATCGAGTTGCAGCAATGTCCCTCTAAACCATAGTAAGAATATTTTGATCAAATATTTTATACTGTTGGGCTTGATGTTACCGATTCTAGACACTGTTTTGTCGGTGAGGTTAAAATAAAGGCAAGATGCAGCGAACAGTAGGGGTTTGGTTTGGGGTTTGTGTTTTGGTTTTGTTGGGGTGGTTTTCCTTTTAAAGATGTGGTGTTGCAGTTTTGGTAAAAGAACTTGTAATGAACCACAGCATTAACGCTCTGTCCTGTGTGATACCTTATTTGATTTTTACACAACTACCTGCAACAGAAAGAAATAAAAATGGAAATGAGAGCCCCGGTCTTCCAAATACATAAGCCGGTATGTCATTTTAATTGTCTGAATATAACTATTTGTTCTGGTCAGCTGTGTGCTTCAGATGCTGCTGTCATGCTTTGGAAGTGGTGTAGGTGCTCAAGGGCCTTACGGGCTTTGCCAGTTCACAACAAAGCCACTTTAATACCGACAGTGAAATGTTTCTGTTTCCAATACATTAACAAATACGTTGTGACTCCTCTTTTTTTCCTGAAGGAAGAGTAAAGTCTGGTCACAACCCTTCAGCTGTCCCGATTTGTACAGGCTGAGTACATGAGAAGATGAGGTGGGTTTCAGGCGGCGCCAGGCAACCTACAGCCATGTTCCACATTTGAGCAGTGGGACAAAGTAGAAAATGAGCAATGCAGGAATAAAAGTATTTTAATAGTATTGTATATAGTATTTAATTTTTAGCTTTTCTTTCCAGAAACATTTTTAGAAGTTTGACATTGTTATTTTCTTTTCTACAACTGCTATTTTTTAACGTATGATAAAAAATTCTCTTTGTTATG